CAGAGGCCACGCCTCCAGCAAGAATCACTTCTCTATGCATCAAGTCCAGACCCTTGTACGAAGCAAAGTGAAGGACAGGGTCTGGTTTTAACCAGGCTAAGACTTACTCTCTGTTCAAAGCAAATGAACGCAATTTGATCACAAAGTGTAAAATACAAGAGCAGATCTAAATTAATTAGACACAAATTTTCCTTATGTTTTATTTTGAACATAGCCAGAGCTCAGCCCACTGCTGTATTCTTTATTTCCTTTGTTTGAGTCATCAGCTTTTCATGCAGAGTAAATACTGGTTAGGCCCAAACAAACAGCAGAACTGTTGCCAGAGACTTTTGCACGTCTTGTTTGAGAAATAGAAGAACAAAGAAAAGTGCAAGTTATTGCTTTTTTTCTTTTCTTTTCTTTTCTTTTCTTTTCTTTTCTTTTCTTTTCTACATTAAATGTCTACTAAACAAATTAACTCTGTCCTGTTTACCGTAGTCTGGTGCTGATGACTTGTCCTGTAGTTTCCACCAGAGTGCTTCTCAGAAAGATTTCCGCCTGCCTGATTTTTTTGGACACACACTCAGGCAGACACTTGCAGAGGCTTGAGCGTTGGACAACCTGTGGACATGTGGTCTCAGTGTTCCTCATCAGGCTTTGACCCAACTCCTGAAACAATCACAGTGTGTGAGGAGGATACAGAGTCCAACACCCCCAAAGATACCCTCAGCTTCATTTGAATGTGTTTATTGATGATGGGACACAGATAAAACAGGTAAATTCAGGGGTTTCAGACTATGGGGCGTGCCTCCCCTAGAGGGAGCTAGAGGTCTTGGGCGTGGGGTGAATCATTCTGTTCAGTGGTGTATCACATAATCATTAAATGTGACCTTCAGACTTCAGTATGAACCATTAACAGTTCAGAGGGTCTGTTATGTGCAGAAGAAGTAGCAACACATGCTACATGTGTTTGCTTGAGTGATTCTGAAGTTCTTGTGCGATCAGAAATGGTTACATTTTTATCTGACCTGCTTGCAGGGATCAGATTTCAACCAATGAAGAGAACCAGAGTCACAGTTTTAGCCAATCAGAGCAGAGCTGGGCGGGTCCTGCTGCCTGTGAGCAGAGACAGACCCTGTCTCAATTCTCGCACTCCCACCCTCGTTCCGCCCTTGTGCACTTCAAATGCGTGTCTCACATTCTCCACATCCGCCCTTCACCCCGCCCTTTTTGGGTACTATTTCCGCCCTTACACGAATCCGCATTTTTACAGACTTTGATGAAGTGTATTACCCACAATTCATCACTGTGTGATGTTTTGAATTAAATGGCAGAAATCTGGCAATGTCCACTGAGCACCTTCCAGTTTAGTGGTGGCAGTAATGCACTTAAATTAGACTGCGAACCACCAATAAAACCAAAAGAAGAAGAACTTACAGAAGTTAGTTCTCATACTCTGATGTATAAGCCTCCTTCGCTTCATGTGCTTTCTTCTCCTAAAAACAAGTCATCATTTTTAGCAATACAAATGCCAAAATAGTGACAGGTCCTGCCACACTGGATGTTGCTGTTACGATGCAGAGGCACGTCAATGCCGTAATCCATACTGTCCCAATTCTCATTTTTTTGCACACTTGTAACCTGCGTACTTCGACTGAATCCCCCCATCACAGAGAGGCGTGGGGTGGCACTGAGCATTGGGACTGGGCCACAGACTGCAGATGAAGTAATCAGCATTTCTTATACTGTTTTTCAAGCATCTTGACCCGCTACCAGAACTGTCGGCATGGAGTCTTTGCCTTCACAGATTCATTTCACTCATGAAGGTGAAATCATGTAATAAATTGTTAAACATCTAATTTGTCTCAGTCTCAGACATTGAGGACTCTTGGATTTTATTTCAAGTCAAGACCACAACTGTGTGGAAATATTAGAATATTGGGCCTCATGCAAGAACTTGTTCGTATTCTAATCCTAAATTTCTCTTACTTTTGTTCGTACGAACCCTTCATACGAACATGTCACGTCAGATTCAACAAACTCTTCTATCTTCAGGAAAAGGGTGTAAATGAGGAGAGTAAACTGATGAATGTGTGTCAGCTGCTCGTGCAGGAGGAGAGGTGATTTACATAATTACCACCCCAAAAACACCATATAAGGCTATGTTTCCTGCCCCACATACCAGGAAGTGTCCATTTATATGACATTGCAAAGTAACAAAGAAAAATTTTACGAGTCAGGAGACTGAAGTCCTGCTCTCAGAGATCCAAAAAAAGTCATTTTTAGCAGCGTCAGCTGTGGAATTAAAGGATCTGCTTTAAAGCTGAGGAATGAAATGTGCTGTTAATGTTGTGTCTCCTGTAGTCCTGCTCTGGTTTTTCTTTGGTCAAATAGTTTTAATTTAAGTGTAAAAAACTGTGTTGCATAGTTTTCACTTATTCAGAAGAGTAGTCGCGCACCGCTATCCCCCACCCCCGACTGTCGCAAGTAGATGCGTTTCTGAAAAAAAGCATTTTAAAATGTCTCCAAACTTCAATTAACGCATAATTTAAGTTGGTTTTTAGTTTGGGATCTTCATATTAATATTGCAGTGTTATACAACAGGATTAAAAGCCAATTTAATTTAATCTAACCAATTTATGTCGTTAGTTACATTTAAAATCTAATTCCAGTTCAAACAGAATAACCTATTAACATAATTATAGAGTGTGATTTATTTTCAACTCGAAATATCTTCAAACTAATGAAATATAAAGTTATTAGTGAAGAAAACCCGTCTGGATAACAGCAGACTGACTGCTGGTAAAATATACGACAGGTCTGGACCAMTCGTAAATTTTGTTCGTATCTGAAAAAAATCTTAGAATATGAAAACATTGGTGAAGGCCACAAATTCTCCTAAATCACTCGTACGCACAAYTTAAGAACAAATCTGTGCGTACGAACGGTTCTTGCACGAGGCCCATTGTCCAATTTATTTGTTAACATCTTTGCTTTCATTGCATATAAACAAGCACGACTCATTGATAATTATGTATTATTTTTACTGCCCTCAGCCCATCTTTCACTCACATGCAGCACTCCAAGAAAGTGAGCAGTGATTGTATTTGATTGGGGGAAGTTGGTATAAGGTTAAGCAATTTCTTCTAAAAGCCCAGTAGCAAACTGGGAATTCTTTCTTGTAATATTCTAATCTGGCAACATATTCTGATGTTTAAACTCTTTTAAAAAAGGGTAAAGATTTTAAAAGTACCAGTTGCTTGAAGAACTGTAACGTTTAGTCAGCTCAAGAGTGTTTGAGATCATCATTCTTTAGTAAAATCTCCTAAGATCATTACATTTTAAATGTAACTGTGTAAAAACCATGAAAATATCAGAATATCAGTTCAGTTATGTAAAATCTAACTTTCTGTATCGTGTTTATTTTTAAATGATGTTTCTGCCGTGAAGTATTTCTGAGTTATAGAGCTTCAGACAGGGCTATGATCATGTGTTGGGAAATTTCTCACAGTTTTTAACTAATTTAGTCCAGGTTGTACCGTGAACAACTACCAAAGGTCATAGCATGCTATCTTTGATTGACAAGTTAAAAAAACGCTTACTTTCTGTTGTGAAGAGTGGATTTACTGACTCCGAGTGTCTTCTTGTACCTGTAAGCTCTTTGTGACCTCCTGAGTGAGAGCTGCAGCGGCGTCAGAGAGAATGTTGTTGACCCAGTCTCCATCAGACGAACACTTCCTGCTTTCCTCACACAGAGAGGGAAGCAGCTGCCCCAAAACAATCACACGTAATCAATAAATCACTTACTAAAGGATTGATAACAGGTTGAGATGTCCACGGATTATTTTGGCCCAAAACGACATATTCTAGGTTTTACTGAATCAAGTGTTTACCTTTAAGGAGTCCCGGGTGTTTTGCAGCACCTCATGTGCCATCACAATGTCAGCCTGGTGATTACAGTCACCTAAACGCTGCAGGCTGTCTTCCAGCTGCCTGCACAAACCCTCGACCAGCTGTAAGCAAGAGCAGCAGATTTGTTTCAATGGAGAGAAGTAATGAAACAAACCCAGATGAGAACTGGAGCCACCGTTAAGAATCATTCTAAACTGCAAAACTTAAATGCTGTAAAACGTGTTAAAGGGGCAATACTATGTGTTTCTCAGGCATACATTTAAATACTTTACCATAATAAAGTGTCACCTTTACAGAGATGTAATGTAACTAAGTACAAATACTTTGTTACTGTACTTAAGTAGAATTTTTAGGTATCTGTACTTTACTTGAGTAAATATTTTTCAGCATACTTTTTACTTTTACTTATTACATTTGTACACAATTATCTGTACTTTCTACTCACTACATTTTTTAAAAAGGTAAGAAGTAGAAAGTCATTACTCCTAATTATTCTGAGTTGTTATTACTTAAAAAATACTACAATGTGTGTGTCCTGGATAGAATGAATTTAATTGTGGTTGGATTCTGACACCGTATTAGCTTGTACACAACCCAACACAACTGCACGCCGTTAGAATTTTTTTTTTTTTTGAGAAGTCACCTCCCAATAAATGTCATTTTGGAAAATTTAACTGTTCACTTTTACTCAGTACTTTTACTTTTAATACTTAAGTAGATTTTGTCAGAAATTTGGTAAATGGTAAATGGACTGTACTTGTATAGCGCCTTTCTATCCACCAGGGACACTCAAAGCACTTTACACTGCAGACATTCACCCATGCACACACTGATGATGGCAAACTACACTGTAGCCACAGCTGCCCTGGGGCGCACTGACAGAGGCGAGGCTGCCATACACAGGCGCCACCAGACCCTCTGACCACCATCAGTAGGCAAGGCGGGTAAGGTGTCTTGCCCAAGGACACAACGACTGAGTCGACTGGACGGGGATCGAACCGGCAACCTTCCGGTTCCAGGACGACTCCCCTAACCACTCTACCACAGCCGCCCCAAAATTTACTTTTGATACTTAAGTACAAAAAATATCAGATACTTTTAAGATTTTTAATCAAGTAATATTTTTAGAGAAGACTTTAACTAAGTAAGTATTTAACTAACTTTGTTAAAGAGAAGACTTTAACAAAGTATTTTTATGATAAGAAACTTGTACTTTTACTCTAGTATCACTTTGAGATACTTTACACAACACTGCACCTTAATCTGTTATTAAAATGCTGCTTTTATGTTTAAATGGAAAATAAACGTATCTTCTCATCACTTCCTCTTCTAAACGCCTTGAAATTGGCCTCTGTCTCTTTAAGACCTTCCGCTTCTGTCTCACCCATTTCGCGGGGGGTGGGGTGGGGGTGGGGGGCTGTGATGCAGTTTACTTGGCATCTGAAAATACATTTCCTCAAACGTATTTTGAATATGAAAAGAGCTTCACTGAGTGAGAACTAGTGTTAGGAGCTCAGCAGACAGTTAGGTTTCACTTTCACTTTCATCCGAGAACCTGCAGGAGTCATGGGCGGAGTGTGTGGGGAGGGGGAAGGGGGGGCGCTCTGGCATGAGGAAGTTCGGCTTAAAGACATATCCCAGAGATGTTTCTGGTCCCAAAAGGTGTTTCTGGTCCCCACCTGTCATTTTGCTCCTCAGCATGGCTTCCTAAAAACGCTGCAGGATTTCTCAAACATGCATGAATGAGTCAAAGCAAGGCTTTGGGCATGTTTTTTAATGAGAGTATAACATTATAACATGATATAAAACTCAAAAAAGTTGATTTTACATGATATTGCCCCTTTAAGTGAAAAAGCTAAAGTAAATATAGCATTAAATGCATTCATAAGTTTGCTTCTTACCTTTTCAGATTGTGGACGTTTCAGCACCTGCTGATGTTCCACGCTGCTAGGCTGTCTCTGATTGTTTCTGTCTAAACACTGCTGAATCTGATCAGAAACATTCACAGTGAAAATATTAACAGGAAAATGTTTGCTTTTTTTTTAAAGAATATATAAGAATAAAGAGACAAATCAACAATAATTTCCAGCTATCTTTATGTTTTGTAGTCACATTTTCACCCACATACATAAAAACTCCAAATCAGTCAGATTTTACTGGACAACCTTGTGGAGAGCTTCTTTAGTCCGGTCCGGGTTGCTGCGGTAGCTCTGTACAACGTCAGCCAGGGGCAGAGGCACTTTCTGCAGGGTGAGGTTCCTGCTCATCAACAAGAAAGCTCTCATCAAAACATGGTTCATTTTAGGCTTAATGAGTCTGCAGCCTGGTGTCTGTTCTGGTCCAAACAGAAACACACCACATTAAAGGAGTGGCTGAGGCTGGAACTCAAACTCTGATTTATTGCTGTGAATCACAGAATTTCCACAGTGAACAAAAACATTATAGATTTTCACAAAAATCCATGTGTGTGCAGGTTTTTGTTACGTTGTGGGGACAATTTTAGATCATTTTCCTGGTATGTTTTAAAGTTCCTAAAGTAGTTGATTAGAGCAATTTTATTATTTTAAGTAGATATGTTTAATTCACATCAATAATAGAACACTAAAAGACTTAAATATGAAGCAATATAAATTAGTGCAATAATATACAGATATTGGAAAATGGAGGTACTGTAGGGGGTTGTAGCAATAACTTGGATTGGAATRTCAAATCCAAACTTTGTTTACCTCAAGACTTTGGCCTCTAAGCATTATTCTGTCTCATGCCTACTGAGACAATAGTGATTTGATTCATTTACCTCCAAAACCATTGTTTACTATCTACGACTGGTAAGATAACGACAGGATGCGACAGAGACCTTCTGTT